TGGTTAATTAAAAAAACGATTTTTTATTTCATTTTATGTTTTTTTTGAAATTTTTCCAAAGAAGTACAAAATTGAGAGATGATAAATTTCATCCTACATATTTTTCTTTAATATTTTTTCAATATAAATGTAGAGTTTCTTGAGTTCATTATTATTATTTTTGTTTAAAACCATGTACACCAGTTTGTAGTGATTTAGAATAGTTAATGAGGTTTGGACTTTAATCTAGACATGGGCACAGGTTGTCCAGCCGGAAACTCCTTAGAGCATCCACAATGCTTTGAGTTCAATCCCAAAAAATTATATGACATTTAAGAAATAGACCTAGTCTAAACAAATATATTCTCCAATGCAAATAAAAGTAGATTGAGTTATATTGATGTGACAACCAAAAAAAGAGACTCAGTCTTCCCATAAATCTATTTTAGACCCAAGTAGAGACTTAGTCTCTTTGCATTGGAATAGATTTTGCTAATTTTACATAGTTTTATCCATGTCATTCAAGACTCAGGTTTATTTACATGCCACATAGGCAAGACTAGACACAATGCATTGTAAATGCTCTTAAGGGCCGGTTACATGTCGTGTTGTACTCCTTTCTGACCAGTCGAGCCAGGCAGGGCACGGGTTTTCCGAAGGGTCACAGTTGTAATTTTATTATTTTTTTAAACTGGCGGTTTGATGAACTGTCGGGTCGGGCAAGTTCAATGAACTGGCCTTTAAATATAGCCGGCGGCTCGGCTACGGACCCAGCATTTGAGGCCCGCTGGCCAGGCGGGCCGGGCCGAGCCATGAACCGGCTCGGTCTTTGGCCACATCTAGCTTTAATCTAGATCTAATAAAATTTTTAAAATTATAAAATATCAAATTAATTTAAATTTTACATATATTTAGTAATTTTTTACTGAGTTTGTTTTGTGATAACTAGTAGCCTGGTAGGAACAACACTAATTTGGTTAACGGTTCGCATTTAACCGATAAGTCATGAGTTCGAGTTATCGACAAGAAAAAGTAAAAACACTATTGATTTTTTTTTTTAAAGTAAGAAAGAAGAAGAAAAAATGCCTAGTGTTTGACCACGTTTTGGTGCTTTTCATGTTTTCTTCCTATCAATCTCCTGTTTTGCTTATAGTTTCATCGACTGATAAATGAGTGGACTGGTCCAATTTCCATTGGATCGGGTTGGTTTTAGTATTTTATTTCATTAAGGTTAGTTTACAGTTTAAGTCAATATAGAGATGGGCGCAGGTCAAGAACCAACTCGTGGTTTTACCCAAGCCAGGTCCACAATATAATAATTTTGTAAACCACGGGTCCCGGTTCAAGGTCGGCCTACCATTTTTTTTTTCTTTTTCAAATTTTCAATTTCGGGCCGGACCGGGCCCAGTACCGGTGCCAGTGCCTACGTGAGATCAAATATAGAATATTGGATTGTTTTGACTGTAGGAGATCCAACGATTCTTTTGAGAAAAGAAAAATCTAAAGGGTTAAGGGCAGGCTGGTTCGGACCTGGAACCAAATCCGAACTCGAAACCTCCAACAGTCAAAATATGTTTGAATCATTTGAACTGCCGGCCCGGCCCGGTATCAGAGTTTCAATAATTAAAATTTAAATAAATAAATAAGTAATCAAAAAAAAAATCAATAAATACCCCCCAAAAATCTGAAAATTCACACCATTATCACTTTCTTCATCACTTCTCTAAGTTCTCTTGCTATATTCTTGCTATTTTGTGCCCGATTCTTGATAAATTCAATCCGGTTCTAAATAAATTCGGTTCCGATTCTATAATCTCTCTCATTTCAGTTTCGATTCCATAAATTCTCTACATAATACTCTCAATTTTATAATTTTCACCCCTCGTTTTTATTTTATAAAGGCCCCGTTTAGTAGATAGCGGATTGAAGATAAATTAGCGGATTAGACTTAATTGAGAGGTTAGATTCATCAAATCCGCTATTGAGCTTATTTAGTAAATAGCTTATTTGATAAGCTTTTTGGGCCCAAAACTCTAATTTAAAAAAAACTCATTAGAGCAGCTTTTCCAGATAGATGATTCACAAAAAATCATTTACTTGGAACTTTTTAATTTGTCTTATTTATTTTACAATCTACATTGGTTTATGGTGCTAATAAATAATAATATGTCATCCATATGATTAATTTATTAGAAAAATGTAAAATTCATAACTTCTTCATCAAGTGTTAGTAATTTTTTTTTAAAAAAAATAATATATTTATAAATTACCAACTAAAGAATATTAAATGTTTTAATATATTGTTATTAAAAAAATACACCCTAAATAATAAAATGTCCTTATTGGTCATTTTACAATGTCAAACAGCTATAAGCTTTCAGCTATTTACCAAACACTTATTTAAAAACCTCTAATGCAATCCGCTGGTCAAATCAGCTAATACAATCCGCTATCCGCTGATCGCCAAACAAGGTCAAATTCTGTTCAACTTATAAAACGCGAGTGCTCGTGCTGGTGCCAAGAGACGGCTACCAAAAATGTAAAAATGTAGGCGCATCCATGAGTGGTCAACCTCCATTGTCAATGCCAACAACACACCGGGACGTATCGGGTCTCCTGATACCGTTCAACGCGTCTTTCAATCTATCGATAAAATTCACGAGTGCTTACAGTTCAAGGAGGACAAGGACCAAAAGGAGCCGTACGCTAACAATTTCAATCCTACTCAAGGTCAACCTCAAGGGGTCGACAGTTGGCATTCCACATATTCACAAGGCATTTCACAAAGGTGCCCAATACGTAAAATAAGGTGGCACACATTATAATTGTGTAATCGCATCCCTACAAAGTCAGTTGATGAGGAAAGTGTCTTAACAAAAAATTGTTTGTAACATTAACAGCAGTAGAGCATCTTGTGGAAGGAGCTACTGTATTTTCCTACAGCTGAAGGCTTTGGTTTCCGAGATTTTTGGAAAATCTAATATTCAGGAAATTGAAAGAAGAAAAATATGTAAAAACGATTTGTGCATTGAATTTTAGCACCAACAGAATAATGATGCATAAAGCATAATCCATAGGTTGCTTTGGGGGCAAGTTAATTAATTTGGGGTTGCATCTAAAACGATATGCCGTAGTTTGCGCAAATAGCACAATTTTTAGTGAAGAGAAATAGAGATTGAAAAAAAAAAAAAAAAAATT